TCCTGCAGCTTGTTAAGTTAGGTCCTTGTTCTGTTTCTAGTCTGTTTTAATTTTTGTCTGTATGAATCTCATTTGAATGTTTGAAATTAACTTTCTTATTTTAAATGGACCAGAATCTTCATTCAATCTTAATTTAGTTATGATAACCAAAATTTACAACTGCCTTTTAACAACTTAGGAAAACTCACATTTAGAAAACCAATTAATTTTATTTCCATGGAAAACAATATATTCTTGATATGTAACCTTCTTTTTTTCCTTTCGTTTTAACAGGCACAACAAGAGAAGGAAGTTCTATGTAGATGCCAGATGCCACCCTCAAACAATAGCAGTGGTCCAAACCAGAGCAAAGTAATGTTCTTCTCCATTTTCCACCATATCTTTTCACTTACATTGAATCATTTTTCATCTGTGCCTCTTCACCATATACCTAACATTTCTGGAATATAGGATTATGCTTTCTTTGCAAAATAGGAGCAGAAATCCGTTAACATTTGGCATTGTTTCTACTTTTTAAATACAACTGCAAAGTAATTAAAGATGTTTAAAAAGAGACTAAACATCTGATAAAAAGAAAATCTTTAATTTCCCCTTAAGTTGTTTGTGCAAATATATACATTTGGTTACTAAATTCAGTCTGGTCATTTTTTTTTAACTAGGAAATGAATTACCCTAGATAGCAAAACTTCTCTTCTAATGAAAGCTAAATCCAGTTTAAGTTTACAGTTTAAAATAACCGTCTAAAAATATGATTTGGTTGTCCAAGTTAAATATGCTAAAGCAGCAAAATGTTGATATCAAATAGCTTATGCATCCTCTGCTCTGCTTTGCTCTATATTTCTGATGATGATACCAAATGCAATTATTCTTCAGTACTATATGCCATGACATGAAACTTCCTCAATATTTAGTGCTGCAAAGCAGATTCAACTGTCTGTATGTTAAAGAAAAAAGTCATATATAAGTCCATGAAAACATCATATTAAGTATCACTCCAAGGCAGGAAGTGGTTTGAATATGTTGTCTCCTGCACGTTTTTGTTTTCCAGTTATACAGGTGTTATTACTGAGCTCAAATTACCACATGAGATGGATTTCAGTGGAAAGGATGTCAGTGGAGTATTATTTCAGTATCCGGACACTGAAGGGAAGGTGGAAGACTTCTCTGAACTAGTTGAAAGAGCTCATCAGAATGGGGTAAAGTAAATTTTAATGGTCTCACAGATTTCAGTCTGATGCATCAAACAGCCGAAGTCGTAGAAAGTTTTACATGAGATACCATCTAAAGTATTACCCTTGAGCTCTCCGCAACTGATAACCATTACAACCATCACAACCATTGCATCTCAGCTCTGTGGAAGTTATATGGAACTGTTTGAAGCTATATCTTGTTCAAACTTAGCTCCCACGCAAACACCATTCCTTCAGAAAAGAGTCTGACTGCTTTATGCACTTGTGTTCTCAGACTCTCGCCTGCTGCGCGACTGATCTTCTGGCTCTATGTATTCTGAAGCCTCCTGGAGAGTTTGGGGTAGATGTTGTCCTGGGTAACTCCCAGAGGTTTGGCGTGCCGCTCTGCTATGGGGGACCCCACGCGGCATTCTTTGCTGTCAAGGAAAATCTAGTGAGAATGATGCCGGGCAGAATGGTGGGCGTTACAAGGTAAGGTCTCCCTTCACCATTAGCGTCTTCAAGGAAAATCAAAATAAAAGACATTATGACCATCTTGTGCAGCCTTTATGAATAACAGCTGACCATGGTGTTGTGCCGAACACCTGTTTTTCTTGAAAACTGGGAGAACAAAAGTTACCTTCAATTTTTAGGAAGCAAGCTTAAAAAATTACATTTGTGCAGAAGGAAGCTGTGAGCTGTCTACAGTGCTTGCTGCAATGTGGGATGAAGAGAGAACTGAAACAGCAGAGAGGATTAATTGTGTTGGCATGAGGCTTTACAAGCTAACTTATTCCGCTTATTCTGTACTGTTATACCATTTTCTCTGACATCCAGTTGTTAAAAACATAAATGGGAAGAAGTAGAAAAATTCAGTGAACCTCCCGAATAATCAAGAAGGAACTTAATCTAGTTCAAATTTTAGTCAAGCTTAAACAAAGCAGAGAAATGTGTGCAAAAGCTTACCTCTAATTCTCTGTTATTGGGACATATTTTGAATTTTGAGAAGATGTCTAACTGGGAATAGTAGAAATGCAAAGTGATTGTTGCTGGAAAGACTGCATATCTTTGGCACTGAAGCTATTCAGTACTTTAGTAACCAAAATAACTAATGACTAATAGTTATCAATAAGCTTAGAAATTTTTCATTTATATAGTAATAATCCTTCAAATATATTTTTAATCGTCTTGCTTATTCTAAGGGTATCCTTAGGCTTTACTCATAGTTCTGAAATCTGATCCCCAATTCAGATTTTGATCAGAAGCCTGGTACAATCCTCTACAAAAGAACAGTAGTTCTATTTATCAAGGCCATGCTACTGCTACTCTGTGACTACACCTAGTTTAATATTTTTAATCTACTTTCATCTTTCTGCATCTCAAGAAAGTTGGAAAAGAAAATGTTAAAAGGGAAAAAGCTATGGTACTTTCTTAATGCAGCTTTCTGCAGTGGATTTTTTTAAGTTTTTGATCACAAAATCGCAGAATGATTGGGGTTGGAAGGGATCTCTGAAGGTCATGTGGTCCAACCCCCCTGCTCAAGCAGAGTGATGTAGAGCCAGTAGCCCAGGACTGTGTCCAGATGTCTTTTGAAGATCTCCAAGGAAGGAGACTCCACAGATTCTATGGACCACCTGTGCTAGTGCTCAGTCACCCTCACAACGGAAAAGTGTTTCCTCATGTTCAGGAGGAACCCCCTGTGTTTCAGTCTGCACCCATTGCCTCTGGTCCTGTCACTGGGCATTGCTGATAAAAGCCTGGCTCTGTCCCCTCTGCACTCTCCCTTTAGGTATTTATATACATTGATGAGGTCCTCCCTGAGCCTTCTCTTCTCCAGGCTGAACCATCCCAGCTCTCTCACCCTTTCCACATAGGAGGGATGCTCCAGTCCCTTCAACATCTTTGTGGCCCTTCACTGGACTCTCTCCAGTACCTCCATATTTCTCTTGTTCTGAGGAGCTCAGAATTGGACACAGCACTCCAGGTGTGGCCTCACCAGTTCTAAGGAGAGGGCAGGGATCACCTCCCGTGGCTTGTTGGCAAAGCTTTGCCTAATGCAGTCCAGGATACCATTCACCTTCTTTGCTCATGTTCAGCTTGGTGTCTCCCAGGACTCTCAGGGTGTTTTCTGCCAAGCTGCTTTCCAGCTGGGTGGCCCCCAGCATGTATTGGTGCATGGGGTTCTTCGCCAGGTGCAGCACTTTGCACTTCCCCTTGTTGAGCTTCATGAGGTTCCTGTTAGCCCATTTCTCCAGCCTCTCAAGGTCCCTCTGGATGGACTGATGATAAACTAAGCTGTATAGTCAAAATCCCCAAACAACTGCTAGAGTAAAAGTGATATAAATATCATATAACTGGTGCACAAGTACTTGAGGCAAGTAGTCTAGCTATTCAAACCCCCACATATGTACATATATATATATTTATATATATGTGTACATAGTTTGTCCATTTCTTTTTGTGGCTGTTCTGGAAGTTTTCATAGTTTTAAAGGGTATTAGATTTACTCTTACTTCTCCACTTTTAACATGTTAGGAACCCTACAGAAGGACCTCTTAAAGGATGGATTGGCCAGAGCCCTTTCAGTTATCTCATACAACCTTGTTTTATTCACAGACTCAACATGCTCTTACTTGACATCATTAGAAAAGATACTGCCTTCTCAGTATTTGTTCAAATTAAGTTCTGGATTACTATTCAGTTAAAACAGTTGCAATAATCTGTGGCATTTTAAGGCAAGTACCAAGTTTTGGTGTAGTATGCTTAGAAAACTCACTGTGCGCTCTACAACTACCTGAAAGGAGGTTGTAGTGAGATGGGTGTTGGTCTCTTCTCCCAAGTAACTAGTGATAGGAGAGGAGGAAATGGCCTCAAGTTGCACCAAGGCAGGTTTAGCTTGGATACTAGGAAAAATTTCTTTACTGAAAGAGTGGTCAAACATTGGAACAGGCTGCCCAGGGAAGTGGCTGAGGCCCCCTCCCCGAAAGTATTTAAAAGACGTGTAGATGAGGTGCTTAGGGACGTGGTTTAGTGGGCATGAGGGTGTTGGGTTGAGGGTTGGACACGATGATCTTAGGAGGTCTTTTCTAACCTTAACGATTCTATGATTCTATATCACAACTGTCCTGATTTACGCTTTATTTTCTCTAGCACCTTTCTGTCTCTGAGGATAGATAACTAGTTTCAGATTAGCATGCATAGAGCCTAGTGTCTTAAATTACTGTAATTTTAAAGTAACAGAAGCAACATTTTCGCTTGTGACTTAGAGATGCAAACGGAAAGGAAGTGTACCGACTTGCTTTGCAAACACGAGAGCAGCATATCAGGAGGGATAAAGCTACCAGCAACATCTGCACCGCACAGGTAACTTGTCGTGCTTTATTTTCAGTGGTAGAAAGGAAGAAGTTAAACCATAAGATTATAGTCCTAACATCACATAATTTGACTTAGCTTTACTTTTGAGAGTTTTTACTAGAAAAATGAAGAACATTGAGATATCCTGGTGTTTGTGCATTTGTTTTGAGTCCTTTGAAATATGGAACCATGCTTGAAAAGAGGGTATTAATATGTGTTTCCTTTAATAAAGACTTTAGCCCTGAATTCATGCAGTGTCATGAGTCCATCTGTCTCATAGGGTTAATGCCACTGAGTAGTGCTGTGTTTGTTATGAATGAGACAGATTTCTTAATAAAACAGAAAGGAATTCTAATGATCTGAAATTGCCCACTCAAGGCAAAAAACAATCCATTTTAAAATTCTAAAACTACTTGTTCAAATTGTCAGAACTTATATTTTTGTCTATGTAATTTGATGCAAAAATATTACATTGCCAAAGAGCTATCTTTACAGGAAAATACCATGATTAAGTAAGTAATTATCCAAAATAGTTATCTTCAGCATGCCTCCACAGAGCTTAAGCCAGACAAATTCATAACTTTTTCTGCTCCTATTAATGCTTTGCTCATGCTTTTAATGTTGTGCCAGATTTTGAGGAGGGATTATTAATATTAAAATGAGCTTAATTACTTAGTATTAATGACATATTCCATAAATGTTTTGTACCAGTCCTAAACAATGAATTTCCTATGAGACTAGCTTTACTTGAGAGTCTTCAAGTGTCTTCATTGCAGTAGTTGAATTTAAGTTCTTGTTAATTGCTGACACAGTTACATTTCAAAGGACATTGAATTCATAATCAGTGCTTACAGTTCCATGAAAGTATTTTGCCTTTCCCACCTTTTATTTTGCAGGCAACACGTAATCACATATAACATCAGCTGAGGATATGTGGTTGTCCCTGGGTGCTGAAGAAACTTTCCACTAAACTAACATGAAGTAATCTTTGATGATGATGATGATGATGATGATGATGATGATGATGATGATGATGATGTTGTTGATAATAATAATAGTAATAATGTCCTAAACTGTATTTGGTTCCTAGGCTCTTCTGGCTAACATGGCAGCCATGTTTGGTGTATACCATGGGTCTGATGGATTAAGGCATATTGCAAGACGGGTACACAATGCTACTCTAATCTTGGCTGAAGGTGAGTATTTAATGTTTGCAGAAACTATTGTTAAATCCTTACACCTTCTTAAATAATACATCTTCTTAAATAAACTTACAGGGGTTTTTTTGCCAGCTGAAGCGTGTTCTCTGAATTCTAGAGAGAACATGTTAACACAAAATTCATAGCTCATGTTTTTGTGTACTTCTGATAATGACATGCAAGAATTAGATATCTATGTGATATGAGCTTGCAAGCATTACTTCTGCTTCCCTGGGAAACTAACAGAAGTCTACACAGTGAGTCTCTAGATGATAAGATTCAAGTGCTGTTTTCCAGCTCCAAGCTCTGTACTTCACTTACTGGACCATCATAGTTTACACACAGAAATCTTCACAGAGTAAAAATAACATAGCAAAAATAAGTAATAAATGAGATTAAAGAAATAGGAACATTTCAGTTAAGTTGGGTGGAGTATCATACCTGCTATGAACACTGAAATCCCAAAGCTTAACAGCTGACCAAAAGCACAGAATCTGTAGCAGAAAATAACGACTGCAGCTGGACTATGTGGTCTGGTAGGTTTTTTCACTGGCATGACTATTATTGCTGTCAGAAGGAGCTATGCAGAACTGCAATGCTGGGAATTGAGGAATGATTGCCACAATTATCCATGCTTTATTTGCCAGCTTAGCTGAAAGACCTTTTGCTGCTGTGAAAAGCACTAAGACTCTAAACTTTGTTATGGCAAGCTCCATGATAGTTAGTATCTATTTTTATAATAAAATTTTTCTTTCCAGTCTTGTGATCTTGTCCTTATTGCATTCATATACCAGCTCTGCTACTGTATATATGACAAATTTGATGTATCAGAAGGATCTTCCTTAGACTCAATTTGCATTATTAGTTAGGTCTGAATCTAATTTAGATGTATTTTATGTGCAGTGACATTTCACTAAAAAGCTGGTGATTTTGCTGCTCTGTACACGAGGGGAATATTTTGCTTTATTATGTAAAAGCATTTACTTACGAGATTGATAGTGTTGTTATGCAAGTACTGCGTAAGCAAACAATACAGTATGCAGCTAATAGAATTAACTTACTGTTTTTTGTAGGTCTCAGGCGAGCTGGTCATAAACTACATCATGATCTGTTCTTTGATACCTTGACGATCACGTGTGGATGCTCAGTCAAAGAGGTTTTGGACAGGGCAGCTCTTAGAAAGATAAATTTTCGGATTTATAGTGATGGCAGAGTAAGCAATTTCCTAAACCTTTCAGAAATTTTGTAGCATGACTTTTTCTGCATTAAGTTTCTAGTCATTGTATGTGCTAAACGGAACAAAATTACTTAAGACTTCTTGTAATTTGCTCAGATATATCAGTCAATTATAAAGATAATATAAAGAATGAAGTTGTTAAGTGATGAACTGAATTTCCAGAAATAATCATTGTATTTTCATTTTATGCCTATTGAAAAAGATTATCTAATTGTTTCATGTTAAATATGCCACTAAGGGCTAGACTGGAGAGACTCTAAAACTTAATGATGAAATGCAAGATGACGTCCAGAATTCAGGTGCTGTGGCAGTGTTTAAAGACAGATTGAAATCTAAACCACATTTTGGTAGGCACTAAGGACTTTTGGCAAAGTCTAATATGTTCTTTAAAATGGGATGGGTGGGGAGGGAGCGGTCTAGCAAAATGGGCAATTTTCCTATTAAAGGGAAAACACTTAGAAACATTAGAAGTAAGGTCACAAGTCTTGAAGCTTGTGAGCCATCTGGCTTGGATGGTTTAGCAGGGGAAAGGTAGGAATTGGAAAATTGTATGAAAATAAAATATATTTATGTATCTACTACATAAAATGAAGTAATGTTTACATATTGTTGGGTAGGTTGATTTTTTCTTTTTTTTTCTCCTGTGTTTCTAGAATATTTTTTCTTGACCAGAACAAATATATTATGGCTCTGGAATTAAGAGCTTTGAGTAATTACTGTTGTTTTTATCCATAGCTTGGAGTATCACTTGATGAAACTGTAAATGAGAAAGACCTAGATGACATATTATGGATTTTTGGTTGCGAGTCTTCAGCTGTAAGTAGACAATAGATCATACGGATTAAATTATCTGAATGTTTCAGAAGTTTAATGAAAAGCAAAACTGCTCTTGGGACAGTGGGTGTCTGTATGATGACCATTTGTTAAATACTGAGAATTTCAGATCCTCGCTTAAAGAAAGATGCAGTATGGGATAACAATGATTTATGTAACTAATGCCATTTTCTGATTGTGACACTTAGTCCTTTCGGTCAGCTTGGACACCTTGCGTTTAGGTGTTACATGTTTTGTGAGGGTTAGGATATGGTGGTCAATTATTTCTCTCCCACTGGAATTTTTGTTGCATGTCATTTGTAATTAGCGGCAGTACTTCCAAGATGAGAACTACTGAGACATCTGTACCCAGTTTTAATATAATGCTGTTGTCATGCTAAATATATACAGGTATGTATGCTAATAAAGTTGTTTTTTTACCTAAAGATCTGATTAAATCTTGAGGTAAGCTGGTAGTATAAGCTAGTTCTGATGGAAATTGACCGTGAAAAGAGAAATTTCTGTGAAAGTATTTGACTCCATGTTTTTTTGTGTCAAAGGAGCTAATTGCTGAGAGTATGGGCGAGGAAACCAAAGGCATCCTTAGCACCCCGTTTAAGAGAACTTCCAAATTCTTGACACATCAGGTTTTCAACAGGTTTGTGAAATTGCTGTATATCTGGTATTTTAATGGAATCTGAAAGTATCTGCTTTCAAAAGTGGTACTGGAGTCAGTTGGGGACAGTTTTGTAACTGTATTCACACAGTCACTCATTACTCTGAAATAATCTATTTAGTAGCATTTTTAGATATCTTTCATGTTTTAAATGAGCAAAGCAATACTCATAGTCACATGGGGGATGTGTTTTTCCATTATCATTGTACAAGCTATTGCTTGAGGTCATAGTATCAGCAGACTTAGTAGAGCCCTTATATTCCATATTTATTGATAGCATTTCTGAGCATTTTTTATCCACATTGCTGTTAGCAAGCATAAAGTACCAATTTGGAAAGAAGTACCTAGTATATATTAAAAATTATCCTCAGTCTTAATTCTTTTTTTATGGCTTTTCTATGTTAGAGCACAGATCAACTAGCTGGTGATTGCTAATCTGCTTGCCTTAACACCACATTTTGTGTTCTCTAGCTATCACTCTGAGACAAATATCGTGCGGTACATGAAAAGATTAGAAAACAAGGATATTTCCCTTGTTCACAGCATGATTCCTTTGGTAGGTATTTACCAAAAAGAGAAAAAATTAGATACTTACATACATATATTTCAATGAATACTGACCAATGCATTTGTATTTTTAGGGATCCTGCACAATGAAGCTCAATAGTTCAGCTGAACTTACAGTAAGTTGCAATAATATTGTCTTACTGGAGACTCACACAAATAAATTATCTAGCTAGTGTCATTGTAAAGAAGTAAACACTGCTTTTGGTCTAGCACTGTGGCTGAGAAGGCAGTTTCAGAAGTAGCTAAACTCATCAGCTCCTTTTTCTGCTAGGAAAAAAACTCCAAAAAGCACAGGAGAGTGAGTGGCTTTGAAGACTCCATTCTGAAAAAAATAATGAAAATAATTTTTGGAATTGGGTATCACAGTCCTGTTGCCTCATGCAGTGTTGCACTACCTAACTTCTATCTGCTTTACAAATCTTACAGTCAAATCCTCAGAAATATGGAAAGAGTCATGCTCTTTTTTCACTCTGCTTTGTCAGTTTGCTATCTCTTAGGATAGCACTCCTTTACGCCAGGTGAGGAGCTGGAGTCCCTCGATATCTTCATTTTTCTAGCTGGTAGCAAATGAAACAGAGCCTTAGCCAGGCTGTTTGGGTACTGAATGACTTTTTGACTCTGAATGAGCTTCCTCTGCTCTGTCTTGTATAACAAAACTGTGTGGAACAAAGTGAGTGTAATGTACTGTTCCACACAACTCCTCTCTGTTTGCCCTGTGATCCCACAGCTCTACATAAGGTAGGTGACCTAGAAGGAGAAACGAAGGATTTTAAGCATCTTCTGAATGTTAAATGTTACTGGAAATCATAGAGTAACAGAATCCTTTAGGTTGGAAAAGACCTTTAAGATAATCGAGTCCAACTGTTAACCTAGCACTGCTGAGTCCACCACTAAACCACGTCCCTAAGCACCACATCTACACGTCTTTTAAATACCTCCAGGGATGGTGACTCAACCACTTCTCTGGCCAGCCTGTTCCAATGCTTGATAACCCTTTCAGTAAAGAAATTTTTCCTAATATCCAATCTAAATTTCCTCCTGTCCTATCACTTGTTACTTGGGAGAAGAGACCGACACCCACCTTGCTACAACCTCCTGTCAGGTAGTTGTAGAGAGTGATAGCAATAAGGTGTCCCCTGAGCCTCCTTTTCTCCAGGCTAAATAACCCCAGTTCCCTCAGCGGTTCCTCATAAGACTTGTGCTCTAGACCCTTCACCAGCTTTGTTGCCCTTCTTTGGACACACTCCAGCACCTCAATGTCCTTCTTGTAGTGAGGAGCCCAAAACTGAACACAGTATTTGAGGTGTGGCCTCACCAGTGCCAAGTATAGGGGGATAATCACTTCCCTGGTCCCAATACTGAGCCCTGGGGAATACCACTTATGACCGGCCACCAACTGGATTTAGCTCCATTCACCACTATGCTTTGGGCCTAGCCATCCAGCCAGTTTTT